TGGTTTTGGACCAGGGGGGAGAATTCGAGACGGAGTTCATCGCCTTGTTGGAAGCCCACAGCATTGCTAGCAAAGTGACTGGCTCTTATGCCCCATGGCAACATGGCTTCTGTGAGAGGCAAGGAGCTCTTCTGGGCGTTGCGTGGTCAGCGGCGGTGGAAGCTGAGAAAGCCGAAGGGCGCCAGGCCATGAAGGTGGCACTCGCTTGCGCGCTACAGGCGAAGAATTCTACTATCAGCCGTCGTGGTCACAGTGCGCACCAGCTAGTGTTTGGCCGCCAGGCGTACCTGCCGGAGCTCTTGGACGAGGAGGTTTGGCAAGCAGCCTCAATGGGGCAGGCGCTTTCTTTGGAAGGAGAGGTTGCACGCCAGTCCGAGATGCGCGCAGCAGCAAAGGTGGCGCTCCTCCACGGCGACATTCACGAGAAGCTTAAGGCTGCGCTTAGGCGTGCTCCCGGTGGCCAGTCTCGGGATTTCGCTCCCGGTGAGTTGGTGTTTTTCTGGTCTCCCATTTCGGAGCCGAAGAGACGTCGATACAGACGAGATGCTGGAGCATGGCGTGGCCCTGCAGTGGTTTTGGTCCCAGACGGATCCCAGAAGTACTTCATCTCCTGGCGTGGCCGGTGTTTACTGGTGGCGGCGGCGAACATGAAGATGGCGTCCCTGGAGGCGGCCGACGACCATGAGCTTCGACTTCGTGAAGCTGAGGCACACCTGGAGAAGGGCTACCTGGATCTTTCTCAGGAGGCTGAACCGCCGAAAGAGGAAGAGGCAACCCGTGCTGTTCAAGGTCCTGGCCTGTCAGTCCGGAGGAGGAGAAACACATTGGGGCGTAAGGTCACGGAGGCCCGCCGGATGATGAGCAATCTCAAGAGCGTCAAGAAGATGCTGAAAGTTCCTCTACAAGGCCGTCGTCGTCCTCGTGCTCTATGTCCTCCTGCCCCCCGAGCTGAACAAGCAGTGGCTCCTGACCCGGCCCTTGCTGGTCCCAGCGCGGCAGACTCGGACGAGGCTGGCCCGCCGCCGGACTATGTCACTGATGAGGACGGCCCGGCAGCGTCAATGGAAGAGGGCGAGATGCGAGATCTCTTGAGACGTCCTTCTCCAAGTCCAGAGACTCTTCGGCGGAGGCAGCTGGCTACTGACGATGTTCCCGTGGCCATGCGTGAGTTTGTTAAGCGTCGCCGAGAACTGCAAGAGCGGGAGTTGCTGGAGAATGCCGATGAGGCTGAAGTTGAGCCGGCCGCCAAACGCCTCAAGGACGCTTCTTTCTACAACTACGTGCTGGCTGCTGTGTCTGAAGGTGAAGTTTTCAACGAGCCAGTGCTTCAGAACGAGTGGCTTAGCAAGGCTGAGGTGGACTACCTGAGCGAGCTGCTTGACATGCCGTTGTGTTCTGTTCGGCTCCATCGCGCCCCGAGGAAAAGGCTTCAAGCTCCAGGCGGCAATGTGGGTTGCAATCGAACCACTCTCATGCTGCAGCAGGGAAGCAGGCAGGTTCTCGTTGCGACTGAGGGGCCTGATCAGGCCAAGGAACGCCCTCGCCGTCGGACTCCCTTCTTGTGGCGTGGCTTGACTTTGTTCTCTCGCCGCCCGAAGACGACGGTGACCAAAGAAGTTTTCTTCGAAAAGGAGGCCCCGCTTGAGGAGCCGGTTGTCGTTGAGAAGGACGGCGTCTGCTATGAGGTGGCCCCGGTTTCGAAAAGGACCTTCTACGCTGCTTGCGCCGACTTGAGTTCTACGACCCGCTGTGTTGAGGCTTTCCTTTTAAAGCTCAAGGCAAGTGGCAAGGAGCTGGACCCCCGGTACTTTGACACCGCTGAGGCCAAGGCCTTTGACGAGTCAGACGCCGCCGAGTGGAGCGCCTGGACCAAGAACAACGTGGTTAAGCGCTTGTCCAAGGAGGAGGCTCGCAAGGTGCCAGCTCACAGGGTCTTCAAGGTCCCGGCGCGAGTTGTCCGGACTAACAAAGCAGCAGCTGGCAGCAAGCAGTTCTTGCCGAAGAGCAGGATCGTGCTCCCTGGCCACCTGGACCCTGACGTGGGAGAGATCCGCACCGACAGTCCCACGACGCAGGCCACGGCTGTGCGCATGGCGATGGTCCTCTGTGTCAGCAAGCGCTGGTCCTGCTACTTGTTTGATGTAAGCACTGCCTTCCTGAGCGGCAAGTCTGTGGGTCGTGAGCTTTACGTTCGACCTCCACGCGACTTGAAGTGTGTTGGGCCACACGAGCTGTGGTTGATACTCCGCAGCGCGTATGGCCTTGCGGAGGCGCCTCGCCTTTGGTACGAAAGGGCAAAGGAGCTGCTGAAGGAGTCTGGGTTCGAGGAATTGAGTTTCGCTTTGTGCACTTTTGTGTGGAAGGACCCCAGGACCAAGGCAGTTTTAGCCGTGCTGTGCCTCCATGTCGATGATGGCATGCTGGTGGGTGACAACAAAGTGATCGGTCAGATTAAAGCAGCCATTGACCAGCGCTTCCAGATCAAGGTCTGGCACTTGGTTAAGGACGTTCCTTTGGACTACCTGGGCCTGAAGATCTTCATAAAGGGCAATGTCTTCATCAACGACATGTCTGCCTATATCCTCGCGATACAGGCCCCCTCCATGACCGGCCTCAAGAAAGGTGAGCTCCTCAACACCGCTGCTCTGAAGGCTTACCGCCGTCTTGTGGCACAGTTGCGATGGCCAGCCCACCACGTCTTGCCGGAGTTGCTCTTTGAGGTGAGTTGCCTGGCCCAGCGGGTGTCGGGAGCTACAACTGAGGACCTCCGCGCCGGGGTTGAGCTACTGGCTCGGTTCCACGAGATGGCAAAAGAGGGTAAGGCTTGTCTTGCTTTTCCTCCAGTCGAGAAGCCGGTTCTTGTGACCTTCTTCGACGCTTCTTTGGGAAAGACGAGTGACGTGGCCTCAGCTCAGCGCGGAGAAGTTCACTTCATCACCGGATGTGACTGTGTGTCAAAGCCTACCCCGGCAGCGATCCTGGAATTCCACTCCAACAAGATTGCCAGGGTTGTGCGTAGCAGCATGGCGGCAGAGTGTTGCAGCTTGGCGGGCTCTGCAGACAAGCTGCTGTACAACCAGAAGCTCTTGGACGCACTGTGGTATGGAGACACTGAAGTCAGTCCTGAGTGGAGGGATTCTTTGAAGACTGAAGGCCACTTGGTTACCGACGCCAAGTCCGTCTACGACCACCTCCAAGGAACTGCGATGGCCAGCGAGCGGCAGACGGCCTTGGACATACTTGCTGTCAGACAGCTGGTGCAGCAAGGGATTCTCCGCTTGCATTGGGTGCCCACTTGGCGCCAGTACGCCGACGGCCTGACGAAATCAATGCCAGATGTCCTCTTCGAACAATTCAAGAAAGCTTTGCGGCTATCTCTAAAGGAGTCTGCTGCTGACCGACTTGAAGAGGAGAGGCGAGCTGGAATCCGAAAGGCTCAACGTGAAAGGCGCAAAGCCCGTATGAGCCGCCGCTAGCGCGACACTTTTCTTTCCCGGTGTGACGCTCGCCTGTGTATAGTGTGCAGGGGCAGGTCGTTCAGCCGTCAATCTCCGCAGCATCGATGTTTAACCTTCTGCGAAAAGGAGCGCCGACTCCTTCCCTTGCTGCTGTGCTTTGCTTTGCCGGTTGTGTGGTTGCACTTAGTGTTGCCAAGGCGATTTATAGTCGAGAGATGAAACGCGCCTTTGGCCGAGAGCTTTCCGTGATCTGCTCCGGGCCCGAAAGTCTTGCTGTTTCAAAGATTGTGTATGCGAATCGAGAACTCCTGGACTTTCGGGGCGCCTGCAAAAAGTTGTGCACAGTGCGAGTGCCGGCTCCTGAAGCATCCTGAAGCTTGTGCTTCTGAAGTCTCTAGTACAGGGAATGCCCTCCGAATGCCTCCAAGCGTCGAAAGTTGCTTGACTCTTGCTTAGCCTTCTTTTTCACCAATCTCGCACAGCGGCCTTCTTCGTTTTGACTCGAGTGGGCATCCTGTCGTTTTGGACGGCCAACGTTGCGGGACTTTGCAAACCGCCAGGTTCTGTCACCTTGGCAGCCCTGAACAGTGTAGGCTGCCTGGCCTCCTTTCCGACTCGTTTGATCTCGAAAATGCAACATCTCGTCTCTTCAAAAACGGATGATTCTGCGCATTTTTCTGCTTCGTGTTGTGTACTGCGTGGTTCAAACGCTCTGCTAGCAACAGTTACGCCGCTATCGGCTGCGTGCAAATTCTCTGGGCTTGAAGTAGGGCCCAGGGTCCCCGGCGCGACAAAGGTAACGGAAGGGTCAGTTCTGCGACAACCCCCCCCCCCCCCCTAGAAGTAAACGGAGGTCAGTTCTGCGACAACCCCCCTCCCCCCCCCCCCCCGCCCCCCCCGCCCCCCCCGCCCCCCCCGCCCCCCCCGCCCCCCCCGCCCCCCCCGCCCCCCCCCGCCCCCCCCCCGCCGCCCCCCGCCCCCCCCGCCTCGCCCGCCCCCCCCGCCCCCCCCGCCCCCCCCCGCCCCCCCACCCCCCCCCCCTACCCCCCCTACCAAGGCTGCAATGCCATTCGTGCGACAAGGGCTTGAGCTTCTGTGACGAAGGGTTTGCACCACAAAAACCGCAGACAGCCTTGTGGCTGATTGAAAAGTCGACATTACGGTGTGGTTATTGTGGTTGTGCTAGGAATCCTGTTTTGCTACATTGTTTGGATGTTTGCAGAGCTTGGCGGTTTTGGGGGTAGGCAAGGCCACCGTTGGGCATGCGGGGCTGGTTTTCGGAGGCTACTCCCAGCCTCAGCCGTACACACACACACACACAAGCTCCAGCCCCAAGAAGCTCGTACCCGCTCGAGGGTTGCCTGCTCACGAACGCCTGCCTGCTTTGCATTCCGGGGCAAGCGATCTGTAGAGATGGCCAGAGCCTTTTGCTTCTCTCCCTGTGCATCGCAAGCATATGACTAGACGAACGCTTGCAAAAGAACTAAGCCCTTGCAAGACACAGTTGACATTCTGAGCACTGGAGTCGTGAAAATCACGCAGGTGCCGGCTATTCCCGGATACCATAGCCTGCAGCGCTGCAATCAGTGCGTCAGCTGACCAGATCTGCCCAGGGGCGCTTTGTGTTGTGAGCATATCTGTGATATACAAAAAAACAAACAAACACACACATACATACAGATATACATATCTGTATATGTATATACACATGTTTACATACCTCATATGCTCCAGGGCTGGTAGTGCTGGAAAGATTGTTTTTTTTAGGTTTTTTAGGGACAGTACAGCACTGCATTGGTACCTGCAAGCCAAAAATAGGGACACTGCAGTCTGGATATGTAGCTCTTTTCTATTTCCGCTTTTACCTTCTCGGGGGCTTGTTTCAACTTTACATTGGCAGCGATGCTTCAACAGGTCTTTGGAACCGAGACTCGGTGATGTTAATCTTGCAAGTCATCCAAAACTTGAATCAAGCCCCAAGCAATTTAGGTCTCCGGGGATCATGACAAGTTAAAGGCCCTGTACGTCCGTTTACTGCTTCTATTTCTGATCTAGCGGCTTAAAGGGGGGGCGGAAGGCTGTGTCAATTTAACGCAGGCTTTCCATTTGAATGCGCTTCGGGAGTATTCTGGCCTCCCCGCTTCGACGAGTTCACGAGGTCTGTGAGCCTCGGCATCGGAGTCCTGCATTGCCGTTTTGAAAAATGACTTTGGGGGATTCTGTTTATGCTTTCAAGCTTGAATGAGCCCACCAATTCTCAAGTGTTCCGGAATGCAAGCAACAAAACGTTCTTTCGGCCGCTGGAAAAAGAGCCTTTAAGGAATGGGGGGGGGGGAGGGTGGGGGTGGAGGGGGTGGAGGGGTGGGGACGGTACTAATATGTGTATACATTCATATATGTATACATATGTATATGCAGACATATATACATGACATATATATATATATATGTATGTGTGAATGGCCTGTGTATGCAATCATCTGGACTTGTCCCAGGTGCGAAAAGAACGGTCGTTGGCAACAGGCGCTCGACCGTGGTTATGCAAGCTGAGTATTGTCAATCAGCGTTTGTGACTCCTGTGCACGTGCAAGGCGCTGGCCATTTTGGGGGCGATGCTGGAAGAGGGGCCTCACGCAGTGGGGTTCCTACCTAGGATCTAAGCTCGGGGAACCTTCTGGTGATTCATTTTTGTGTCGCTGTATCTGTCTCAACGACTCAACGAGGACCTAATCATCTTCAGTGCTGCAATCAGTGCTTGTGAGAAAGGCTGGAAGTCTGCCTACATGAGTTACATTTGTTCCCACACATGGGCTTGAGTGAGCGTGCCTAGTTAACGTATGCTAATGAGAAGTACTTTGAAGAGACTCGAAACACCTTCCGGTACCAGGGCGCCGCTGGCAGGAAGCGCTGCTGCTCCTCAGGGAGGCCCTGCGGCGGTTCAGGCCACCTGGGCTGCGTGAATTCCCCCCCCCCCCATGCCTCTCTGTTCCGCTTTGTGTAGCATTTGCAGAGCCAGATGGCAGGCCTGAAATTACACCTTACAATGCCGTCTGCTGCCGAGCATTCTGGTGAGCAGACTGCCGCACGTAGGGACCGAGCGGGTGATGGTCAACAATATTCATGCCAGGTGATCAGCGCCTGCGCAACAGAAGGGCGCTGGCAGCTGGCGGCATCTGGACTCAACCCTTCAAGATCTCGAAAGCTTTGTCCTTCCAGATGATGGCATGATCAGCTATGGAAGCTCATGCCTTGTGTGTCTGTGAGGTCCAGCTCTTCTCAGAAGCCTTGCATCTGTCAGTGGACGCAGCAAACTCAGCCACACCAGACGAGCCCCTGATCACCTTGCATTCTGCCGGCGAGGTCCTTACTGGCAGCTCCGTGATCGCAGCGTGTGCACAAGCTTGGAGCCCAGCTCTCACGAAGTAGTACGCCCACTCCAAACAGGACCATTCACAAAAGGCCAGGAAGGAAGCAATCTAAGGAGAGTGGAAATTCAGACCCCGAAAGCTGCTCATGTCAGTCGGCTGACTTGATCTTCTGATGTGCTGCAGTGCGCAGTGCACTCGATCAGTTGTGACCGCCGAGACCTCTTAAGGAGGCGGGGCAAGAAATCCAAGCTCAACACCATCGTGCAAAGTTGGATCTCCCAACTTGACGCACTTGAGGTAGCCCTGTCAGAAAGAACAGTTCTTGCTATCCATGGATTCGCCTTTTGCCCGCATGTGCTCGATTGCGCGCCTTAAGGCAAGCGAGTGGGAGCCTGCCCTGCAACTGCTCAATCAACTGCAGCAGCAGAGCGTCGAGCGGCGGCCTCAGGCTGCCACAGGCAAAGAGAGCCAAACAAGCATCAAACCGCGAGCCTGGCTGTGACTTGCATTTGTCGTTGCAAACACGTCTGTGTTCAGGTTGAACATCAAAGTCTACAATGCAGCAGTCATGCCCCTTGCAGCGCCAGCTTTGTGAAGTGCTCCCGCCTGACTGCAAAGTGGAGGTTGCAGCAGCAAGTGGACAGCCCTTCGTGGCGCTGCAGATTGTGGAGGACAGTTTTTTGGTGCCTTGACAACCTTTTACGGTTCTTGTCCTACATGCTGGACGCACACACAGAACCACACGCAAAGTTAACCTCTGCCTTCAGAGGAGATTGATGTTGCAAGGCTGATTCCAGATATTCTCACGTGCCCCCCCACCTTGGGTTCGTTGTGCAAAGTGGGGTTTAGCAGGACACCTTCGCTGACCGAGGTACACCCCTGCAGCAGAAGCCATTGCAAACGTTGGAAGCGGCATGCCTAGTTGCAGGGGACATCATTGATGCCCAACGGCCAGGCTTCATGTCACCTCGTTAGGTCTGTTACATGAAAGTGGGCTGCCTGTGCACGTTGTAATCTATGAAAAGGAAAGATGCTACAATGCCACGTGAGGTTTGTGTGCAGCGTGGTTTCGCAGCTTCGGGTCCTTTCGGGATATTGCGGGTGCAGAGTGCGCTGGCTTCGGGCCAAGGTCTTCACTTGGAAACTCTGTAGCGGGAAGGTCCACTGGAAGGTCCTCTACAGTATCCGTATCCCGGCTTCTACAAGCCCCCCCCCCCCCCCCCCCCCCCCGGCTACTGTGTGGGGAGTCGAGTCCAGCTTCGCGAGCGACAGCCCATACCCCTGAACAGCTCCTTCCCTCCGTCCTTTTGTGCTCCAGCTGTTCTTTCTTCAGGGGTGCCCGCGCACAATAGGAAAGGTCCCACATTAGACAATAAACGGCCACTGCAAAATACAGACAGATGGTTGAGTGTCTTTCCACACTCAGTTCCAACATCGCAGCGGTCATCTCAACTTGCAGAGGCCCAGTTTGCAGCCTTGTTTCACTTGGCAGGAATTCATTGAAAACACATTGCATAACCCCCGGGCAGGTCCCTGCTTTGTTGGTCAAGGCAGCTCAGGGCACCTTGCGCCGCTTGTCTCTGCAGCCTGCATCGTTTGAGCAGGAGCAGTGCTCCGAGTGCTGTTCAGAGTTCGGAAACTTCGGAAACCACTGGCAAGGTCGGAGCGTGTCTTCGCACTTCGCAATCAGCTTGGTAATGGGCCAATCGTGCAAGTCAGCGCATCTCTGTTCATGGCGAACGAGGCCCCGACTGTCCTTGCACTGGACCTGCTGACGGACTCAGGCTGTTTCCAGGCAGAGTCGTATGTATGGGAGATGATGTGAGGTGCTGTGTTTGTCATACGTTGCTGGAAGGCGTGCCATGGCGTGCTTCAGGCACGCGTTTCATCCTTCGAGGCTGCTTGCGACAACTGATCCCAGCCTTCTAACCCAGGCACAGGCCTCTCGGGTTATACTGGGGCCTGCAAGGCCTTGGCCTTGAAGATTCGCCAGTGCTCTTGGGATGCCCCCGTGGTTTCCGAGCCTCTCCTTGTGTCAGACCGCGTCTACACAACCTGATGAATCCTTGCCAGAGCAGTGGCATCAGTCCCAGAGATCCACCACGTCCCAATGTCATAGAGAAACCTTGGGCAATAGAGCCTGCAGAGATCAGGTCGTGAGAACGAGGCTCTCCGGGCTGAAGCCTTAGGGACTCCTTGGAAGATCGTTTCAGTTTGCTCGGATGATATTTCGTGTTGAAATTGGCAATTTCGGTTCATCTCAGGATCCAGTCCTCGAAAGGCACTTCAGCATTGGCAGCATGCTCACAGTCGAGGCTGGCATTGGTGGACATCAGCAACATCTTTCTCAGTGCGTCCCCAGTTCACTTAAAAAAGACCTTGTGAAGGCCCTCTAAGGTACGATAGAGCATTCAGTGCAACGTCGTGTCAGGTGCTTGCCACATCCTTTCCAGGAGGCTTCGAACATGGGCACAGAACACAGAGCAGTCTTCGAGGAGGGGTCGCAGATTGTCAGGCCCAAATTCTGGGAGTCGCGATTGGAGAAGGCATGCTGCCTATCAGGCGCAGTTCTGGCGATGTGTGAAGGGCATTTGTGTCCTCTATGCCATTAGATTGCCTTTCAGGCGCGGTCTGCCCTACACTTGTGTGACGATGAGGCGGCCCCCAACATTGCCTGCTCTCTCCCGCTCTTCCTAATTGGGTCCTCTGTGAACTTGATCTATAGGTTTCCTTCGCCAGCAGTGTCGTTTCTCGCGGCATTGCTGCTTGGTCTTACACTGAGTAATGCAGCAATATGCAGCAAAGCCACCGAGTCGGCTTCGTCTGACCAGCTGCTCTCGAGCTGCTCTCGAGCTGCTGATGAGCTGCTGATGAGCTGCTTGTGAGCTGCTTAGGTCGAGCTGCAGCCTTGGCAGCCCTCATTCACCAGCACAGGACGCAGCCGGTGTTTCAACATGCTTCAACATGCTTCAACCTTTGCAGCAGCATCCCTCCCTCTCCTCTTTGGAGGACTCCTTTGAGGGCTTCCGCTGCGCTCTCCGGGCCCGGCTTTGTGCCTTTGGCGAGGCCGATCCCGATTTCAGGCGCCCTGCCACCACTGCCACTGCCATCGAACCACACTCTGAGATCCTTTTTTATAGAAGGAGTTTCTCCTCCTCTTCTGCATTTTTTGTCGAATTCTCGCGCATATGCAGAGCCTCGGTGAGTTTGTTGCTGTGAGGCGCCTGGCGCCCATCCTGGTCGAGCACGATCGGTCGCAGCATGCTGAAAGACAGGCTCTCGGAATCCGCCACTTTCAGTCGGGTTGCCTCAACCTGCTTCTCATGCCACATCATCCGCACGCCCTTGTATCAGAGCCAGGCAATGCTCTTGTTGTTGGACGAGGCCGCTGCGCTTCTTCTCGCCAGTGTAGGGGCTTGAGTCGGGCTTGAGCCCCGACTTGACCATGCCCAACACTGACACGCTGTCCGACGTGACGTCAGCTGTGCGGTTTGCACGTTTGAGGGCGATCAGCGTTGCCGGGATGTGTTATCTGCAAGCTGAGCAGTTGTGCATGTAGCCTTGTCACAGGTTAATGCTTCGCCGCTGGGCCAAAGGCTTGCCCAGAAGGTGGCAAACGCGCAGCATGCAAAAACGATGGAACGCCAACCATCGTCAAGCATCACGTTGACAAGGGCTCTAGGGTATCCTACTAGGCTATAGTGCTATTTTGGTATTTCAAGGTGTGCTTTATAGAGTCACGCGAAGATTCAGTCCCCCGTTCTCTCCCTTTGGCTCAGTCCACGTTGCAAAGCAGTGGGCATGGCGCCCCCGACCTTACTGAATTCAGCCATAGTAAGCCCCTGGATTCCGCAGTCCAGCTACAAAGATGTTTCGCGGAAGGATTGGAGGCCTGAAAGGTGCAAATGCCGACTTGGTGAGACTGCCGTCCGAAATCGATGTGGCCAAGAAGCCAACGAGTCTGCGGACCCTACGCTCAGGCTCGTCATCGATGCTGACAGGTGTTGCAAGCTCCCCCAAGTGGATCAAACTGGACGGCATTCATCACACGTATGTGCGCCGCGTTCGGCAGGCTGGCAATGCCTGGATTCTGACTAAACAAGCGTCCCTGCTGTTTGGAATGGCCATTACCGTGCAAGCGCTGATGATGGGTATAGATCTGGAACTGGAATTTGCGGCCCAAGCACAAGTGGAACACAGACATTTTCAACTGGCTGGCGGGGCTCTTCGACAACAAGGTGGTTTTGCTTTCTACTTCGTCCTGACGATGGACTGTGTGCTATTCATTGTGTTCGCGGTTGAATATATTCTGAGGCTTCGAGCCGTGGGTAGAAAATTCATGTGCTCTGCGCTTGGAATCCTGGATTGCATTCTACTTCTCAGTGCAGGAGGATACGTTGTCCTCCAAGTAACAGAAATCTCACTGCCTGGGGCGATGGTTGGTCTCGTGCGGACGGTTCGCCTCCTGCGGATCCTGCGGTTTGTCCACATTCTGCAGATCGTACCAGCCTTGGCTCTTTTGGTGAAGGGCTTGGCTAGCACACTGATTACAATCATGGACGCAATGATTATGCTAGGAATCCTGTCGTATGTGGGGGCGCTGCTATGTTCAGAGGCTTTAGGGGATGCCCCGAGTGCCGAGCTTCAGTACTTTTTCGGAACCGTTCCGGCCAGTTTCCTTACTCATATCAAGCTGGTGCTGGTTGAAGGCTGGCCAGAAATTTCAGAAGCAATGATGCGCGACTCTGACTATTGGTCAGTGTACTTAGTCATTTTCATTTTCCTGAGCAATTTCGCTCTGTTGAACTTGGTCACAGGCGTTGTCTGCGAACGAGTCATGGAACTTGCCAGGCAGATGCCACCTGTGTCGGCAGATGAGAAAGATTTCGAAATTGAAGAATTGAGAGACAGGATTACAGATCTTTTTGAAACGGCGAGCAGAAGGAGGCGAAATTACCTTTCTGAGACGGAGTATGTGAAGCTACTGCAGTCGGTCCCAGCGCGGGAGGTGCTTGATGACATGAAGATTGCGCTTCCTTCGGAAGCATCCCGGCTGACGTGCCTAATTGATGATGACCACAATGGGAAAGTTACCCGTATGGAGTTGCAGGATGGCCTCTTGCGGCTGCGAGGCAGCAGGCTTGATGCTGTCTCACGTGAGATGCAGCTGATGGTGCGGAAGCGTTTCTGGATCTCTTTCACTGCTGTCGACAAAGCCGACAAGCAGCTGGAGGAGATCGTGCGCGAAGGTATGCAATCCGCTGGTGAGAGGGCAATGCAACAAGTGGATGGTATCCAGGCTGGGTTCCTGGATCGCCTTCAATGCCACCGTGACAGACGTAGCCCTGAAGAGAAGAGGTCAGATCGCCGTCTTTCGGACATTTCTTCCGCAATGCGCGCGCTTCGATGTTCGCTTTCAGCATTGCAGGACGACTGCCAGCAGGCCATGCTGCCAAGTTCCCGAAAGCTGCCTGAGGACTCGACACGGACCATGAAAAAGGCCGCAGCCAGTCAAACTGACTGCTCGTGATGGTTCGCAACGTTCGCATGTAGGTTTTCCATTCCGATGACAGCTTCTCGTCCGACTTTGACTGGCCCAGTCTTTAGCAACTTGACTGATATGCGTCGCTAAAAAGTCAAGTGAGCAACTGAAGTGAAACCTTGTAACAGCAACCTCTACTGAATGCAGCTTGAGGGGCTCACTACGACTACGACGACGACGACGACTACTACTACTACCACTACTACTACTACTACTACTACTACTACTACTATTACTACTACTACTATTATTATTATTATTAGTAGTAGTAGTACTACTACTACTACTACTACTCCTGCTGCTGCTGCTACTACTACTACTACTACTACTACTACTACTACTACCACTACTACTACTACTACTACTACTACTACTACTATTACTACTACTACTACTACTACTACTACTACTACTACTACTACTACTACTACTACTACTATTACTACTACTACTACTACTACTACTACAACTACTACTACTATCACTATCACTACTACTACTACTGCTACTGCTACTACTACTACTACTACTACTACTACTACTACTACTACTACTACTACTACTACTACTACTACTACTACTACTACTACTACTACTACTACTACTACTACTACAGATGTCGTCCTAGTAGCAGTAGCACATTCCCGCCGAGTCCACACTTCACCTCGCAGATGTTATTGCCCCACAGAACCCTGGCAGACAGGGACGAAGATTTTCCTTGCTTTGGTCCCTCAGCCTCGCAGAGCAATCGCAAGAGCAATCGCCAGAGCAATCGCAGGCAAGCTCTTCTCGCAAAACCCTTTGACAGACCACTGCCACTGTCTTGCGGGCATGGAGAGGACTGCTCACACGAATGATTGCAGCCGCAAGAGCAGCCCAACAAATCCGAACAGAACCGCAGGCACACGCTCGTCAGCATCATCTTCCTTCAGGCAGTAGGGACAGCTGGACTGACAATCTGAGCTTACGTCGAAAGCACTACTGAAACTCCAATGAAAACCAAGCCGCGCTCAGCCTACTTGTAACTGCAAGTCGGTATCGCCTCCGGTCATGTCGCCGTCATGGTGGCCGCCGGATTGGCACACCCATGGCACCTACGAAGTGGGTTGGCCGAAGACTCAGCTTGAAGGTGCACAGGCATGTCAGTTATTCGAACCAGAGTTGGCCAAAACCAGTACAGGATTCTCAGAAAGGCCATTGAGTTTTTGGATTTAACCAGAGGAACAAGAGGCTTGTTTCTCCAGGAAAGCAGTTACTTCCATCCCTGTGCTTGACAGCGTCGCCCAACTCTAAAACAATGACCCAGAGCATCTCAACACGGTTGCGAGGAAGGAATTCGTGCCTGAGTATGGTGACACATCTCCATCCACGAATTCTACGGAGGACAGCTTGCAGCTTGCTCTTCGTGTGAGTGACTGCCGTTCGCATGCATGACAGGACACGGCGCTCGTGCGCCGCGGCAGCAAAACGTACAATGTGTGCATATGTGTGCGTCCCGCGACACAGTACAGTGTAGTACAGTTGAAAGCTTGGCCGTTGACCCGATGTTTTGTGACGTGCGCCAAGGTCCTATCAGGAGTTGCAGGAGGCGAAACTCGAAATCGAGAGCCTGCAGGAAGAGTCTGGCCCTCAACGTGTATCGATGCTCGCGTTCACTGCGGAAGTTCCGGGCGTGAACTGCGCGATGCTGAGGAACGCCTCCTTGAGATGTCGCTTGGATCTCGTGACGCTCGATAACAAGAAGGACAAAAAATGTTGGACGAACTTGAGGCGAAAGTGCGGTCGCCGAGTGCTCAGTGCACAGCTTGATTGAGTTCAATCAAGATGGCAGGATTCGATGTCTCTTAGCAACAGCTTCAGGTCCACTAACCTGCAGGCCAACATCGAGATCCTTAAACATCTATTAGAAGTTTCTCGTAGCTGTGAGCATGAGCTTCGGACAGAGCTGAAGACCTGCAAGCGGGAGCCGGGCTCTTACTTTGACATGGGCCAGAAAGAGTTCCAGTTGAATGAAGCTTGCTCGATGTAAGGCTGGGCACAGTGAGCAGAAGGCTGAATGTGGTGGACCAGCTGTGGGAGGCCGAGAAGAGCCAGGTCCAGGAGTTGAAGTCGCAACTTCAACAGTCCGAAGCTGAGTGCAAGTCTCCGGGACCATTTTGGGTCAAGGGCGAATCGTGCTGAGTTGTTCCGTGCTGCCTTACAGCATGATCGTGGCAAGCTTCGAAAGCAGGTGCCCTGCTGACGTCGCGAAAGCGGATGCAAGCTGCCAGACGAGTACTGCCGAGAGCACTTCCGTGGCCAGCGCAAACTCGGAAGTGACTTCGGCTTTTCAAGCAAGCAGCCACACGTTGAAGTATTGTTGCTGGAATCCCTGATAAGCCGCACTCTTGCTTGCCCCAGGTGGATTCCGACTCTTCCGGTCCGCAACCACTTACAGTGCACCTCGGCTCGGACAACCCCAGCAGCCCGAAGCAAAGCGCGCAACCCTGAAGGCCAGCCCATCCCTAGCAAGCCCCAGCCCCCCTTCCTCCCGAGACAAAGGGGAAACATAAAGAGGTTAAACCCAAAGGCTGCAAAGACCCACGCCCTAAAGCTCTAACGCTATGCGCATGAACTGTGCAAGACCTCCGGAAGATGGTAGACAGTCATCGAATCCCAGGAAACAGTATAGAGAAACGACGATCGGTCATGACGTGCAGCATGAGAGCATCATTCCGAAGTCTAAGACAAATGCGTCTTCATTCATCGAACCCAGGAGTAGCTCAAGCGCTGCGTCCCACTGTTTACCTCAACCTTCTGGGCAGATGCTTAAGTTGCTTAAGACATTCTGTGCCATGGACTGATGGTCGTAAATACATGCTATTCCCCACTTTCGGTGTGAGGTTGTTAAATTTTGAACTCAGCTGTGCTCCTTGCCGGGTCTACTCCTCGTCCGGCCGGTCTCCCGGGGCCCACTCCCAGAGAATCCCTGAGTTCCCAACCCCCATCCCCAATCCCAGAAAATCCCTGCAGTGATCAACCTCAAAAAAAAACCTTGAAAAAACCTTGTAGTGCCCAACCCAGAGAATCCTTGCCCAACCCAGAGCATCCCTGCAGTGCCCAACCGCGGAAAAATCCTTGCAGTGCCCAACCCCTGATAATCCCTGCAGCGCCCTGCTCCAGAGCCAGTAGAAATCAGAGAGCGGTCGGGAAGGGCAGCCCGCAAATTCCTTCTCTGCATTTGCAGGATGGGGATGTTCTTCGCTCATAAGTATACGCATAGTATACTCTAGGCATGATCGCTTTCAGGATTTACCTTCTCTCCCGTACTCCAGTACTGCTCCAGTACTAGAGCAGTACGACTCCCGTACTAATGCACTGCTCCAGTACGACGCCAGTACAGCAGTAAAATTCCAGTACAAGTCCAGTACTGCTCCAGTACTATTCCCCCATGCACTATTCCATTACTACTCCAGCAAAATCATCCAGACACGATGACCGGCATGGAAAAGTGTGCGCTAGCCCTCCTCCTCCCTCGAAAAACAAAACCGAATGCGAGGATCTTTGGGTATGATTTTGGGGAAGGTTCTTGGGCTGTGCCAAGTACACCCTATGGAGCCGCGATTTACGTTACCCTCGCGCAAGGGATAAACATCTTTGTTTACTTAAACCACCTTTTTTTAAGGGGCTGTGAAACCTTTTCGCAGAGCAAGAAGGGTTGGGGACAAACCCTGCTTGCTCTGTGAAAGGGTTCTATTCAAGCGCAAACACAGCCTATGTTGTTCCAAACGTTTGCACTTGCAGAACGCTGCAGAAGTAAAAGCATGTCCGTTAGGGGTTTGTCATATGTCCCCTCCCTTCGTGCTCGTAGGGTGAGGGCCCCTGAAGGTTAGGCCTGAAAGCAACTAGAACCAGAACGTGCTTGAAGGGTCCAGCGTGCGAGGTTTGAAGGTTTCAGAGAGGCGTCTTGGTTGGTCCTTGTGTGTGCGAAGAGACTGAGCGTGCGCAACTAGTATCCTGCTTCTTGGGGACCGAGCATGTTCAAATTAAATAGCATCCTCAAAGGTTTGGGGACCGAGCGTGTTCAACTAGCATCCTGTTAGCACCCAAGCTTGGGGATTCAGAACACTGTAGAGGTAAACACATATCCCTTAAGAGGTTTGTCGTATGTCCCCTCCTTTGTGCTCGTGGGGTTTGGTGAGGGCCCTCGAAGTTTGTCGCATGTCCCCTCCCTTCGCCCTCGTAGGGTGACATCGTAAGCAGCTAGCACCCCGCTTGCGCCCTGATGACCAAATAGCTCGTGCCATGGCGCGACCTATTTGGTTGCCGGGGAAACATCCATGGTGTTTTAACAACACGTTAAAACACAAGTTTCACTCCGCGCTCGTAGGGTGATGCCGTAAGCAACTAGCACCCCTTCTGCGCCCTGATGACCAAATGCTATTTAGTCGCAGGATCTATGGTGCTGTAAAGCTCCAAGACACATTTTCAGGGCTTGCGTTCTGCGCCCAAAAGCCTGCGTTGGTAGCGTAATCGTGGCCCTAAAGCCCGCCGGCATTTTATCCAAAAGCCCGTGCTGGTAACGTAATCGTGGCCCCAAAACCCGTCTGCACTTCAAAACGGTCACATGAACCACCTCTAAGGGCCTCGCCCGACGAGCACGAACGGACATGCGACAAGCTTCTAGGGCCCTCACCAAACTTTAGGAGCACCAAGGGAGGGGACATACGACAAGACTCTAAGGAAGCTGTTTTGACGTCTACAGTTTTCTGAAAGTGCAAACGTTAGGAAATCACATGTTTTTGCGCTTGTACACCCTATAAAGCCACGGTTACGTTACCCTCACACAAGGGATAAACATCTCTGTTTACTTAAGCCACCTGTTTTTATGGGGCTGTGAAACCTTTTCGCAGAGCAAGAAGAGGTGGGTACAAACCCTGCTTGCTCTGCCAAAGGGTTCTACTCAAGCGCAAAAACATCCTGTGTTGTTCCTAACGCTTTTACTTTCAGAACACTGTAGAAGTAAAAGCATATTCCTTAGAAGTTTGTCGCAGAGGGCCATGTCCCCTCCCTTCGTGCTCGTAGGGCCCAGCGTGCGAGGTTTGAAGGTTTCAGAGGGGAGTCTTGGTTGGTCGTTGTGTGTGCGAAGAGACTGAGCGTGCGCAACTAGCATCCTGCTTTTTCAAGCGCATTCAACTACCACCCAAGTTTCGGGAACCTGCTTGACTGGTCGCAGGGGCATATTCACAACCCTTATAGAGCCACGATTAGGTTACCAGCACACTTTTGAAATTCATCGTAAGCAACTAGCACCCCATCTGCGTCAAGTTGGGCTCGACAGGGGCATGTTGGCCGGATCCGGACCGTGGGTACCACGGACCCAAACCGCGTCCGGCCCCAATTGCGCTGATGACCGGAGACCACGGGAGACCACGGATCCAACCGTGTGACAGCAATCTAGCCAAGCGCGTGACACTTTATATTCTGAGGAGAGGACCCCAAACGGTTCCTGTTTGGGGAAAACCCACCTGAAATCCTACCAACAACCATCCGAAAACCACAACAACTATGGAGCAGTGCAACTTGCCACCTTTAAGGACCCAAAGATTTTAAGCAGGATTTTGTTAGCATGTTCGGGAGGCTTAGACTTAGATCCTTCCGAGGGATCCATGGGTCCTCCCCAAAGCCCAACCAAAAATGCTAGGGCCTTCTTGGGGTGGGAGCAATGTGCACTGTTACACGCATGTTGTTCGTTTTGGGCGGGATTTTCGCACGGATTTCTGGCATGGTTTTTGGGAGCATTAGAATCGTGTTAAGAAAATCCGGGGTCCGAAATTGAGAATTCAAAGTTTCACAAGTCCAAGAATTGCCTTAAGGATTTTATAGAAGAATTATTGCCGATGTCAGCCCGCTGTTTTGAAGAGGCAATGCGTGCACGTTCGGCCTAGCGGCAGGAATCCTTTTGCAACATCAAAATGATAAGCAATTCCTGAAAATGATGCAGGTCAGAATGAACCCCGGAATGAGAAAACACTACCTAAGACCATGCACAAATCGCAGGAACAGTCGAGGGGCGTGCGACTCAGCAACTCGGCAGCAGGTCGCTAGCCCAATGTCAAAACTTACAACCCGCTTGCAAGACATGATTCCAGTTGTTTTGGATGGCTACTTTCGAGGGCTGGGATCCGCAGAAGCTCCTTTTGTGCCTCGGTCCGCCAACGCTTTGCTTGCCAGTTTCCTTTTGCTTTTGACCTCATTGCTTGGATGAAGTGGTCAGTGTGGGAGATCTGTGGCATGGAGCTATGAGGCCCAATCTACTGGAGTACCTTTCTGCGTCTTGCCAGCAACCTGAGCGGTCATCCGAATGGCCAGTTGTGTGGCGACCGCCTGGCCCACCAGCCCACGACCTGCTGGTGGTGCAATCCTGAAGGTGCCAGAGATTCTGGAATGGCGCACGACGTCCCAGCTGACCAGGAGCCCCAAGGCCGGGAGCTGAAATGCAGCATGGCTAATCGCCAAAATTATGCCTTGCACGGAGCACTTTCACCACAGTCTCTCAAAGTCTAACCTGAGGTGTTGCTACAACATGTGGCTGACATGGGCCGGCTGGACAGGCATCAGTGGGTTCTTGTAGTTTTTTGGACCTGCCCCTCGTAGCCGGCCCCTATAAGCTGCTTCACCCCAGTGCTGAGAAAGTTGAAGCGCTCACGGCTCGTTGCGTGCAGCGCAGGTCTGCCTCCGTTCTAGCATTTGTGGAAGAGATGGAGCGCAGCGCTGACTCGAGGATCCCGAACGGGGATCCCTCTGAAGATGTTAAGCAAAAGAAGTACTTTGATTGCCTCTCGGACAATTACGTCGCACTGCAGCCAATAGCTACTCGTAGGCGTTTCCGCGGCGATTGTTTGCCACCCCTCTCTCTGAGCACTCGCCATTTTGTCATCTCAGGCTGGTCGTGGTGCATGTGCTTGGCTGACACCGAATACACCCATTTCCCTGAAGAAGACGTTCGCTTCATCGTTGGCGAGAACCTTCGATTGCTGATCGAGCATTGTCGTGATCCCGACGACACTGTGTGTCTTGCGGCCATCCATGTACTTCTCAACTTTGGAATTGGTGGCCTTCCTTTCGCTCAGCACCTCATCGCAGACTCCATGCTGAAGTTAATGGAAGATTTATTGCCGGAGGTCACTGAGGTTGATGCTCCTCTCTTAAGGAAGCTGATAAGGTGCCATCAGCATCTGACCTATGCTCGGCATATTCTGACGATGCCTCAACGGCAGGAATGGGCGTCGCTACTGCTCAAAAGCTTACAGTCCGCCCCGGCTACTTGCCAGATGAACTTTGTTCCTGGCCTGATTCAGCTTTGGTGTTCCGATGAGACACCCAGGAAGACCTACACAGAAGAGGAGCTTCAGGTAAGAGCTTGGATGACGTCCGAGAACTGCCAAGTGTGCAAAGAGCTGGACATGCTTCTAAAACTCTGACACACGCATGAAAAAAAGACACGAGGGTCTGCGCCACGTCCAGGGGGAGAAGGCGGTGCATCCAACTCTGCCCTTTCCCTTCGGCCTGCCTCCATTCCCTTCCCCTGCCTCCTTTCCCTTCCCCTTCCTCTTTTCGGTTCAACTTCCAGATTTCCCTCGCCTTTCTACATCGGGGGTACGATTTGTTACGGATAAGGGTGGGCCAGAAAGAGCCACCAAGACTCGTGAGTACGATTTGTTACGGATAAGAGTGGGCCAGAAAAAGCCACCAGGAGTACGATTTGTTACGGATAAAAGTGGGGCCAGAAAGAGCCACCAAGACTCAAGACCCGGGAGTACGATTTGTTGCGGATAAGAGTGGGGCCACCAAGACCGGGTTTCCTCAGCAGGGCGGAAGCCGCAAAGCCTTTATCCTTGCTGTGTCATTGCTCAAAACTACAGGTGCATATGCCCATGCCCAGCGGGCACCACGTGGTAGATCTTTAGAATCCGGCACATTCGCAACGCTTGAGAAAGTCCAAACACAAAGCAACGTGGGCCTTGATGTCCTATTACTGTAGCCTTGACTTTCCTTGAGCCCAGTTTTAACAGGTGTTCTCGTTCGACTGCGCTAAGAAAGTAGACGCGTCCGTTTCCTTTGCCGCATTATGGGCAATGCGCTTGCGGATGTGTCGAATTATGCCTGCTGCACAACGCGGGGTGACGAAGCAGCTGCTTTGCTTGTGAAAAACAGGCACGAAAGAGAGAGCAGAGCAGAGTCTCCGAACCTTATACTTAGGATTTAGGATGCTATAGGAACATTAACGCATGAATCAGCTCCTGGCTCGTGCTTCAAGCCCCTGTCAGGCATCACTCTTGGCAGGATGTTCCGGAGACTGAGGAGTTCCAAGTCTTCTTTGACTGCTACGAAACCAGGGAAGAGATGCTTCAACGCACCTTTTCCGGTGAGTCTGACCATCGACCACGCAGATGGCCGCTGGAGCGGCGGAGCAGCGGAGAGATGCCTCGCCCCCGCACGCTGTCTCTTGTGCCGGAGGCATAATCGTGCGCTCATGAGTGCTTTAGGGGCTCAGTGGAGTTCGATGCAGTTTGATAGGGTTTCGTATAGAAGGTGGGTCTGTCTTTATGGTTCTTCATGTCGACTTGGTGCTGGCGCTCAGGGTTTTAGAGGGTTTCCAAAGGTAAGATCAGACTGCCTCTACATGTTCTTTTGGGAGGGTTTGCCAGGCTGGTTTCCGCACTTTTGCTGAGAGGGCGTCAGTCCGTCAGCTTCCAGAACCGACGTTCAGAGACGACATGCCACTTCTTCCCGAAGATGTCTACGAAGATCTCGTCCCTGTTCTCAAGCGGGAGGTCTTGGAGCAGTGGCGGCGTCGTCTGGAGGAATCCTGTTTCAAAGATTCCCAGATGTGTCGCAGCATGCCCCTTAGGAGCCTAAAGGGATTCTTGCCTTGTTTTGTGGCGTGCTCTGGGAGGCCAGCTAATTAAAAGCCAGCCTCCCTGGTGAGGAGGGCGACCTCGATGAGCAGCTGCAGAAGCAATTGCAAGCAGGCTTCCCGGAACTGGAAGAGTGGACTTCGCTCTCGGTTGTGCGTCGGATGCTACGAGCTTCCCAGGGCAATCTGGCACAGGCAACACCCATGCTGATGAAGGCCATCGAATGCCGCGTGCGGGAACGAGAACTTTTTCAATGCATGCGATGTAAGGCGGCCTGCGACATGCGGATCATTGGACGGGACCGGCACAATCGCCCGACAATCTACATAAGCGCGCGAAGCCAAACGGAGCCTCTGCGAAATCTCATCCCGCAGGTGTTTCTGGCCTTCGAGGCAGCTTGCCCGAACCATCCCGAATCACTTCACATCGGGTATTGCTGCAACAGTGTAACATGATGTCGCCTGCAGCAGCTGAGGCAGCGACGCGACTTGCGCAGGAAGATGGTCAGGCCATCCTGGTGGCTGACATGATCCAGTCTCAGCCTTGGCACAGCATGCATGACGCAGCATGACGCTGGAATCCCTGCGTTGGCCCAGATTGTGGCATAGTGCTAGGCCATACTTGAACCCTGCCTACCCAACCACAATTATGTAGATGCTGGCCTCTCACAGAAAGTGCACGGGACCCGTATGATTTCGTACGAGCCTAGGCTGCAGCCGCAGCTGAACATGGATCTCTTCGCCTTCAAAGATCTGGCCAACAACTTTGGTGTGGCACAGAACTCGGAACTCGGCAGCTCACCCCAAGCACGATTTGCACAATTAGCACATGCTTGCACTCTAGTGCTCTAGGTCTTTGCAGATCGCCTCAACTGCATCCTCATCGTGGATTTCTCGTGGGTGGCGCAGGACCTCGTGATGAGAGATGGCCCTTCGTATGTCGCATGAAAGTGAAAGGCCTTAGGAGTCGAAAAGGCTTTGAGGCGTTCCATCGGATTTTGCATGTGCCCGAAGCCCCAAGCGGTCAAAGATGATTTGAAACTTTGAAAAGCGTGGAGACGTTGAAGGACCAGCAACCGTAAACCGACCCCAGGGGAATTCAGAAAGCAGGCGCCAGGTTGCGGGGTTAGGGCTTGGGCGGCCGGCCCTTGGCCGTGCGGGCCCAGGGCCGTGCGGGGGGCCTGGGGCACGCGGGCGGGAGCGCACAAAGCCCTTTTTCGACCCCTGCTTGGGGGACTGGCAGAATTGGCTCTCTGCATCGTCCGAACCGACCACCTTGGGTGTATCGAGGACCTGGGGCGTGGGCGCGCAAGAGCTTTCGGACCCTCCTAGGAAGGCTTCAGTTTATGCGTGAGTTTGATGCATTTTCCATGCAAGCACCGTCTCACGGTTGTGCGAAGTGCTCAACAAAGTATTTTCGAATGAAAGGGAGAGGTGTGCCAGAAGCTGAGAGCAGCCGCAGCAGCTCTCGGGCCTGGGGGGGACCACTATGTAAAAATGACGCTTTTTGTCTTTTCTTGTGTGTTGTGCGGACTGATCTGGAACCCGCCCGAGTCGTGCGAGCGGAAAATTGCGGAGCATCTTCTGCGCTCCCTCGGCTTTCGCAAAAGTTGTTAGAAGATGCGGAGCCATCGGAGCCCCATCATGGAGACATCGTTTCTCCTCACGGCTCTGTGGAGCATCAAGAGCATCAGCAGCCGACCTTGGTCGGCTGCGGTTTACAGAGAAGCTGATTGTCCCAATGATGCCGGCGTGTCAGGACGGGAAGCGGGGTGGTGATCAGCACGATGGGTAGCAGTCAGACAGGACGAAAGCCCTCCAAAAAGAGCGGGCACTCAAAGACTCAAACACATGAAACATCAAACCGTGCCTTGCTGACATCGGCTCGGGGGGTGACGAGGGGAACAACGGGCCCGGCGCTGGCATGGAAGGTGCCAAGTAAGGTGATGCCGGAGCATGGAGTCATGGTGTGACTTATCCCTTTCAATATGGGTGCCGCCCATGTTGGTGGGTGGACAACGACAAGTGAAAACATATGGTGAGCTTAATCTCAGTCACTCAGCAAGCTGGGCGCCACACGTGTGAGCATCGGGCATGCTTACAGGCTGTTTGGTCTACGCTGAAGCCATTTCTCAGCGAGCACAGTGCTCAGTGAGTGATCTGGATGGTGGAGTGGGGCGCTGGCATGTTGGTGGCAGTGTGCGGAAGTTCAGCTACGTTAAGAAAAGCCAGTTCCACCACCGACTCAGCTCGTGTGTCCTTGAGGCGCACGCAGAGAAAAATCAACTTCCTTAGCGAGGCAGGCAACAGACACTCACCTGCGTAATCGGCCTAGTGTCAGGAATGTTTCTTGCATATGCAAAGGGCAAGGAGTCGCTTTCATGATCTGATGGAAGTGTAGAATTTTGGTATGTGGGGCCTTCATCGATTTACCTTCTTGTGGCAGCTTGTGCAGGCCAACGCTCGATCATTTGTGAGCCAGAACTTCTCGGCGCTGACCCGCGACAGGATCGGTTGGTTGAATGTCTAGGCGGAGCTGCTTGACAGCGCTCTTGACATGCAGGATCTTCAGTTCCTTCGACATCAATCGTGATGAGCCCCTTGCTCGACTTATTCCGTCCTTATGAAGTTGCCTTGCTTCTTGTCTCTCTGCACCGACCATGCATGAGGAATTGCCCGTACGTTGCGAGTCGTTCGCATGCAGCATCTGCTTCGCATGGCAGCCTTTTCTCGTGCCTCAAGCAGCATCGCTATAGACAGCCGCTGCCGGGCTTGCAGCCACAAATGACGCACACTATCCCGCAAGCCACGGTTGAGAAGACGCCGCTCTCCCCATCTCGAATCTCCAGATCCACCTCTGCCAAGGTCATGCAGGAGAGCCTTGCGCACGAACTGGCAACAATCGACTTCAGAGCGAGTGTTTGTAAATTTCAGATCCGCCATAGTTTGCCTGGCGACAGTGACTGTCAAAGCGAACCAAGGAAGGCTGCGGCCATCAGGAAGAGTTTTCAGCGCCCGAAGTTCTGGGTCATGGGCTTCGGCTGGTGTTTGGCGGCCTGTGTGGCTTTGGCATGAGCTAGGCAGCTAGGTGCTGCCACACCATGTCTATTCTGCATGTATTCTGCTGTTCTTTTTTTTTGGTGATAGGGCCTCTAAGCCCGAGGCAGGGGCCGCCAATGTGGTTGCCTACAAGTCTTGGAATCTGTATGCATCGCACGTGACCGGGAGCACGTCGAATATTGCCTTCCGGCTCGAAGGCTACCAGCAGGGCGAGTATGGTTCAGAGACCTTGAAGGAAGCATGCTCGCTTGTGTTCTCCTTCCTGGTCGGAGCATACGCCTGTGGAATCCTCATTGACAAGAACCAAGTGCACCTCCTGGGGAGGCCGTGACTGAATTCGCTCTCTTTCGGGGTGGACTTCTGCCAAGTTAGGGATGGAGATTTGTCTGATGGTGCTCATGCTCTCCCTTTACAGGCTACCCAAGCAAAAAGTTTCGTCTCCTCCCCGTGCTGTCTTTTTCCCGCTTAGGAAAGCCTTCTATGGCCTGGCCCTGGTGCTGAACTCGGCCCTTCTAGTTTCGGCGGCTTTCGTGCCTGGTCGGCTGCTTCCGGCGTGCCTAGTGGCAGCGGCTTGCGGCTTGCAGAACGCGATGTGCACATCCCACTTTGGCGCGATCGTCCGCACGACGCACGCCGCCTGGCTATTGCAAATGAGGGGCCTTTGCAGGTGAAGATATGTGAAGCAAGCGTACGTTTATGTGCTGTCATTGTAGATTTGACAAGGTGACTGGCACCATGACTGACATCGGTTCGACAATGGGCCGCATCAGCATGATCTACCTTAGGAGAGCATGCCGCTGCAGTCAGCTGACGGATATCGAGCGTGCAGAGATAGGGGTGGATGCGCGCAAGCTGGCCGTGCTTGCCGGGCTTTGGACCTTCTATCTGGTTGGCGGCCTCATCGGGATCTACGTGGAGAACATCGTTGCAGGTCCCAAGGCACTTCTGGTCCCGGCTTTTGTCACAGGCAGCGTGGGCGTGACCTACATGGCCTGTCGACAGCTGTTGAAAGACTACATCAAGAAGGTGGAGAAGGCCCGGGAAGTGCTGTCGAATGCATCCTGCATGCTTGCTCGATACACTTTTGGAAGCATCTCTCCGGTTTTCAGTATGGTGTTTTGTTTGTGTTTTGTTTCTTTGATTTTTTTGCCTCTGCTTCAGGAGCGGTTCTCGGCTGACCTGAAGGAGGCGCAGAGTGCCCTGGCCCACATGGGATCTCGCCTGCAAGATCTCGAAACCGGCGACACTGATCTCGCATCTTGGCCAGAAGTCGCCGCATGTGTTTTGAAATCCCTCTCGCTCTTCCTCGCTCTCTCTCTCTCTCTCTGAAGCCTTGCTTGCCTGAGCATCAGCCCTAGATCGGCGCAGCTGTAAAGCAGGTAGCAGACTTGGACAAAGAGATGGGCCACATGATCGATGCTTTGCATGAGGCCCGCGCTGATTCGTGTGCACCCCGTGTGCACCCCGTGTGCCGAGAAAAATCTAAACCTGACTTTAAGCCTCTGCCCGATCGGTTCCTGAGGTGGAGGCCGACTTTGACAACCTGTACCAACAACCAGGCAATGCAGCTTGGCTGGAGAATCTGAGCCTTCTCTGCTGCTCTTGCCATGTCTTGCTCAAGCCGTGGAAACCTCAGTGCCTGCTCCATGCATCTCCATGCCACAGTGCAGACAGAGTACTGTATTTGTTGCTTCAGGCCACGGAGTCCGCTCAGTCGAACCGGCAGTAATGAAGCCGGATCCGACGGTGATGACCGTTCCATCCGTGGCTGGCGAAAGCATAGAGGCATAGACGACCTCCAGCAAGCACTGTTTATTAGATTCTTGCATTGCTGCGTGGGCATGTGTATAGACAGACGTCCATGCGTGATTCATCTCTTTTGCCTTGCCTTGCAAAGAATGAATGGCACAAAATTCACGCATGCAGTTGTGATTTTGTTAGGGCCAAGAGCAGTGGTCTTATAGCCTGGAATGGTCAAGATGCGCATCTGCGCACTTGCATCCCCTAAGAGGGAGCCGCTTCCACGATGCAAAGCCGACCTTGCCCTGGCCCAGCTATTGGGCGCTTCAAAGATACAGCCCGGACCAGCCTGGCTGGTCAGACTACCCAAGAGCCCACGTGAGTGAAAATGGCCACCGTCTTCTTTCAGCCTTGTGAGTCTCAAGTTCGTTCGTTCAGAAACATCTGCCATCTGCCTCGATATGCTTTCGGAGGGACTACCCGGGGCTTACTAAGCTTACTACTCCTGTAGCAGTCTGAGCCGCAAGTCTCCTGTGGCTGAGGCTGAGTACACAGGAGGACAGATTCGCACATGCGCTCGTGGCCCAGTCTGCTGCGGCTGCCGTACGCCATGATTGTGGCCGCAGCCATGCGATAGCAGGCTCCGGACCGCCATTTGTGATGTGCCGCTGGGGGAGCTGCGAGCTGCTGACGAGGCCCTGTTCCTCCATGATCCCTGATCAGTTCTCAAAAGGGCTTCAGCCTGCCCAGCCTGCCCGCAGGCCGGGTAAAAGAAACAGCGGCCAGTGCAAGCAATTCAGCTCGGCAGCTGCTGTGGTTCCTTTAGCTGAATCTGGCGCAGGCGTTCCAGCGCATATGTGCCGGATGTATGCACAGGTCGAGATTTCAGGGCCACGAGGTGCTAGCGTAATCCATTTTACCGTTATTGCTTGTTTTGTTTGTGAATACATGAGTTCATAAGAGTCGACCTAAGTCCGGTGGCGCCAGACTGATTCCTGAAGCCACAAAGTGGAGGAGTCAAGCAGTGTTTAGAATTACTGGGCGAACCATCAGCAGAGTTCGTTTACGTTCCGGGCACAGGGGGCATGCATGCACAAGCTCAGCGCCTTGCGCTCAACAGCAAGGCCAAATGGCTGACCAACCAGGTGCCGTCAACAGTCGTGCAATCTGCACTTCCCGAGGTGGCTAGTGAGACATGCGCATCGCGCGCAGAATTTCGCAGAACTGCAGCTCTGGAGATGTTGCTGGCTCGTCTGAGATGAAGATCTGGGCCTTACCGGCACTTCCTGGGCCGGGCCTTTAGCCATGGCGCTGGTGCCCGCCGAAAGTTCGCTGTGGCCTCGGCTAATCTCGGTTACCTTGCGTGTTGGGGCAGGTTGTGCTTGTACCCTGGCAGTAGTTGCTGGGCTGTAGTGTCTTGTGAGGTTTCTTTCCTCCCTCAATGTGGACCGTAAAAGAGCACTGGACAGACAGAAGAAACGAGAGGCGCGCTTCTGCATGTATCATAGTGGGGAGGTTGCAAGTAGTGAGAAAAGTTTGGGCTGACGAATGTGGCTTTGGCCTTGATGGCTTTGCAGAGAGCCGAGGGCTATGCTGAGAAACTGCGGGTATGGTCGGCGCAACCCCGGTGAATGTTTCATGTCTATACCCGAAAAGACATGCTTGAGCCACTTCACAATCGTACAAAGGCGGGAGGAGGAAGCCATAGGCAGCCCAGTGCACACCAAGAAAAGTATGTTCTGCCATCTGGGCCATGCAGATCCATACGCATGACGTCGACAAGTCGCAAAAACCAAATGTCAGTACCATTCAATATCCCTGGATCTCGTCCAGGAGCTACTAGTTGATACAGAAGGTGGCACCAAGATTCTTGGACTGCACCAGGACCTACAGGCCCGCTGCACGACACGATTGAACTTGGGCCTGCGCACACCAAGAAATTCCTCGTGTCGTCGTTCTAAATTTTCTAACCCCAGTGCTGGACTGTGCTCGAGGCCCTTGTGGACGTGCTCGATGAGCGAGTCGAGAGTAAGCTCAGCGCCAATGAGAAGGTCTCATGAGTCATGAGTCTGTCTTGCTGAGCCATGTCAATGTCGAGGATGTGCACTGAGCAATCGAGTTCCAGCATTTGCAGTCCCACCCCTCGCAGGCATACTTCGTGGCTTACAAGAGCTTCATGCCCAATCCTCGGGCCGCTGTTTCGTAGCACTCACTCTTGTTTGGTGAACGTGTGTGCCAGATGCTGCCGGCGATCCGATTGAAATGATGAGATGGTGCCAGGTTCACCGTCCAAAGAGAGTACAAGGAGCTGAAGCAGAAGGCCAGATTTCCAGAGCGTAGATTGTAGTCTCCAGCCTCAGCAAGAGATCTTCGCACACTTGGAGTCTCCCCTTGGTGTAGAACAAGAAACCGACCAGAGAGAGTACCTGCACACAACGACAAATCAACGCCGACTTGCGAGCGACTTGCGGTTTTCCACTACAGCACCGCAAAAAGCCGAACTGACCCTCCAGCAAAGGCATTGAAAAGGCTGAGCAACAGCAGTGATGTTTCAAGCGTAACGGGCACAAGATGCACCTGAACCGAGAGAACCTGGCAGACCTGACCCCGACAAACCTTGTGCAAATGTCAGGCAGACGAAGAGGAGACAAAAACCAGGAGGGATGCGAAGATCCAGTCCCTGGAGAAGGACCGTGCCTGCATTCTACTTAGGTCCTTCCGGTTTGTATCATGTTGGAATGTACTTAGTAACTTAAACTTAGTAGGTTCACTTTTGGCGACACGGCGCTCGATCCTCAGGAGCTTGACTGGTTCATGAACGAGGCCACCTTTCCATCACTTCTACCAAAATATTATGTAGGATCATGTGCCATGGGATCCTTGCTCTGATCGTAGGCCTTGCGCTTGGATGAGCTGGTCAAGAAGTACAAAAAGGTTCTGGGCATGTTGGATCCTTGATACTGTGATGCTGTGCCCGGTGCTGCAGGAGCTAGACAAATGGAAGGGCAAAGCAGAGGCACGCGACTGTAAGTTTGGGGTGCATCTTCTAGCCTGTTGAAGCTCTTACAGTCTTCCGGCATGTGAACAAAGGGGGTGGGGGGCCTAAACCCTCAGCTCTACACACTGCACTGCACCCCCTTCGAGCTCCGTGTAGTCAGGGTAGTCGTTGCTTCAGGGTTGAAGGGGGATTTAGGGCTCAGGCTTTCGGAGCCCATCTCCGCAAAATGGCAAGCTTTCCTGCAGGGATATGAGCATCTGTCAGAGTCAGGTGTCCATGGCAACCTCAAACTGCAGCAGTTGACGGATGGCCCGTGCAATCACTAACCCCTGCACGAATCAATGGTGCTTGCAGCATTTCGTTGAGTTGCACATCGGCACCCAAGCTCCCAACGCAAAAGTCGAACTTTGCAGCATGGAACTGTTTAAGCCAATAAGCTACTAGTAAGAGATCGTAGCAGTTGTGATGTTTGTGATGTGGACCCATCCTTTCAGAGTTTCAGGCCTTGGAGGACGACCGACAGTTTCTCGAGAACCAGATCAAGCAAGCCAAGAGGCTCTGGCCAAGGGCAGAAACCCTAAACCCGGTAACCCCTGCAAGTTAGATGCAAGCCTATTGCTCCGTCAGGACGAACAAGTCTCTCAGAAGTGCTGTGGAAGAGGATGTGCCCCTAGCGAAACATCGCTGCACGCATGCAGACTGGCATTACAGGGAGCCAAGCGCATCCCAGAGCAAAAACTGGACGCTTGGAAGTTTCTCAGCTATTGAGGCTCAAGGGGGTTGTGTCAACGCTGAGAAAGCATGACCGTCACGAAAGCCGGCGAGGTTTTCGCCTCTCAGCTGAAGCGTCCCAAATCTTCGAAGCTTCTTTGACTCGGTTTGCTCCCCGGACGGCATGGACTAAATTGCATGTGAATGCACGCATGGTCAAGGCTGGCATCTCAGAAGGTGCGCCAGCAGGACTTCCAGATGGCCAGGCAACTCCGACGAAGCCGCTCGGCTTTGGTCACGACTTGCCCGAGTCGCGGGCTTCCGAAAGGTGAAGCGGGTGAGCCTTTTCTTCCTATCTCTTCATTCAATGAAAGCCCATACCGAGAACCGGTGCTGTCGCTACTGTCATGTCGGAACGCAGAAGATCCAGAGGTTGGACGATGGCTGCGCGAAAGCAGCGCCAGTGTCTGGGCGATGACTGTATCAGAGTATCAATACTGAGTAATTGTAAACGCTTGCGCGCGCTGCCTCGGCAACCGGGCGGCAGGGGGGTCTGCTTGTTCCAAGACAGGCCCCAATACCGACCGGTCCACGCGTTTGCCAGAAGGGCCCAGAGGGTCGCAGGAGGGCCCGGGGGTCCCAGGCGGGATTCGGGGGGTTCCCACCAGAAGGGTGTTTTTCTGCATTTTGAGGCGCTCCCTTTGTACTCCACAGCATCCGTTTGCAGCTGCTCCAAGCGATCGGCGGGTTTTTAACAGGGAGGGGGGAAGGGTTAGGGAAGGAGACCGGATCCGAGTCTGCTTGTTCCAGACGCTTCTCGGCAGGAAGCCGAGGCGAATAACTGCATCTTGCAGAGGGCACCATTCCAACTGAAGCATGAAAAAGGGATAGACTTGGTGTTTGCATCCATTAACACTGAGGTTGCCAAGGAAGCCTGCAGAGATGTTTTCTGGCTTGGATTAATTTTGTTTTCATGAGCTTTGCACAGGGCCTGCGTTTGTTGCTAGCCACGACTTGCTGGGCAACGAAAGGCCGACGCTCATGCAGCGCGATTTGCGGAATACACTGGCATGACCCCGAAATGGTGCTACAGACTTGTTCTAATTAGCTTGGTGCTGAGAGTGATGGGTGGATGTTGGGTGGCCTTCGTTGCTTTGGAGTACACCCGCTACTACGTCTGGCCCTCAGCTCTTGTACTCGTATGTGCTCGCACAGAACCTGCTAGATTGCAAGATAGTGATCCAGCTGTGCTTCTCGCCGTGGTCGCGTCCATTCCAGAGGTACTCAACGACCTGGCCGAGCTCGACCTTCTCCGGGTTCTTACCGGCTCTCCCCAATTTGCCATCCAAGCATTCCTCTTTCCATTTCTAGGTGCCAGGATCTCAGCCGGCAGAATCTAGCCTGACATCCTATTGCCAAGTCCAAGTTGGCTCATGAAATCTCATGAATATGTTTATGGCGAAGGAACATTGATGCCTGAGGTGTTGTCAGACAGGGTCTCGAGGAAGAAGCTCATCCTTGCTTCGAGTGTGGCTCTCTCCGCTTCAGCTTGGCTGATGACGGTTGTGCCGTCTGTGGAAATCTACGTTTTCACGAAGGCTGCCACAAGCCTTCCGATGAGTGTGCACTGTCTGGGCCCAAACCAGACACCTCGTCATGGCACGCTCGTCACATTACGATTGAAATTTCACTTGATTCCCATAAATCTCAAGGAATGTAGAGACGCGCAGCTCTTTCCAGCCTGACATTCTGACAAATAAAGTTGAAGTGGACAACCACTAGAATGCCGCATCGTCTTGACGCCTCAGACTCTAGGCGCCCTGGTCAATTTTGCAGCCTGTGGCCAGGTACTGGCACTAGTGGCGGATATTGGTGGCCCAATCCGAGATGCAATGCTGCGCGACATTTTCTCGGCGGACGAGTGGGAATTGCAGGACGGTGGTGTGACAGGCCTGAAAGCCCGCTTGGCTATTGTGGGTCAAATGGGCTTCGGCTTTGCAATGGCAATTGGGAGCCCTGGCAGATGATGCTCATGTGAAGCCCCTCCATGCGGTGCTTTCCTGCCGATGCGGCTGTGTTCTTTGCCAGTCTGACGATCTTGCTTAGGATGGCCGTGATGAAGCTGGGCGAGATTGGTGTTGGCCTGCCAAATGAATACACGGTGCACAAGGACCTGTCCCAAACCAGTTGTACCGCCTAGCCATAGGCTGCTGACTG